GTGATATAGACAGTGAGACGTGAGGGTACAAGGTGATATAGACAGTGAAAGGTGAGGGTATTAGGTGATATAGATAGTGAGAGGTGAGGGCATTAGGTGATACAGAAAGTGAGAGGTGAGGGCATTGGGTAACAGAGCTAGTGAGAGGTGAGGGCATTAGGTAACAGAGCTAGTGAGAGGTGAGGGTATTAGGTAACAGACAGTGAGAGGTGAGGGCATTAGGTAATATAGACAATAAGAGCTGAGTGTATTGGGTAATAATGACAGTGAGAGTTGAGGGTATTAGCTGATGTGGAGAATGATAGCTGAGGGTATTAGATAATATAGACAGTGAGAGATGAAGGTAACATAGACAGTGAGAGATGAGGGTATTGGGTAAAATAGATAACGAGAGATGAGGGTATTTGGTAATATATACCATGAGCAGTGAGGGTATTTAATACTCTAGACCAGTGGTTCTCAACCCAGTCCTCAAGTACACCCTACCAGGCCAGGATTTAGGGATTACGCTGTTGTGTCAAAAGTGTTTTTTGTTTTTTTTCTACAAACATCTTAGACACAACTGGGTAATCCATAAATCCTGGACTGTTAGGGGTACTTGAGGACTGGACAGTGAGAGATGAGGGTATTTGGTAATATAGACAGTTAGAGTGGTAATAGGTAATATAGACAGTGAGAGTAAGGGTGTTAGGTGATATAGACAGTGAGAGGTGACAGTATTATATATTATAGTCTGTAAGAGGTGAGGGTATTCTATATTATAGACAGTGATGACAGATGAGGGTATTAGGAGATATAGACAGTGAGATGTGAGGGTATTCGGTAATATAGACAGTAAAAGCTGAGGGTATTAGGAGATATAGACAGTAAAAGCTGAGGGTATTAGGTGATATAGACAGTAAGAGAGATAGAATTCATGTGATAGTGATATAAGTAATAGAGACAGTGAGAGATATTTGTATTAGGTAAGAGATTAAATCAATGCAATATTTTTATAAACTGGATATGGTTTGAGTATTTACTAAGGTTTGATCACTTAATAGTTTGCACTCCTAGTGAGCAATGTTAAGGATGAAAAACACAGGAACGGATTTCATAAATAAGTAGTTTTTTTTTACATCACAAATAATGTGTAATAACACACGTAATCTGCTGTTATATTATAAATAATGGGTATTACATCACACGTAATCTGCTGTTATATCATAAATAATGGGTATTACATCACAGGTAATCTGCTGTTATATCATAGATAATGGGTATTACATCACACGTAATCTGCTGTTATATCATAAATAATGGGTATTACATCACACGTAATCTGCTGTTATATCATAAATCATGGGTATTACATCACACGTAATCTGCTGTTATATTATAAATAATGGGTATTACATCACTGGTAATCTGCTGTTATATTATAAATAATGGGTATTACATCACACGTAATCTGCTGTTATATTATAAATAATGGGTTTTACATCACACGTAATCTGCTGTTATATTATAAATAATGGGTTTAAGAACACACGTAATCTGCTGTTATATTATAAATAATGGGTATTACATCACACGTAATCTGCTGTTATATCATAAATAATGGGTATTACATCACACGTAATCTGCTGTTATATCATAAATAATGGGTGTTACATCACACGTAATCTGCTGTTATATTATAAATAATGGGTGTTACATCACACGTAATCTGCTGTTATATCATAAATAATGGGTGTTACATCACACGTAACCTGCTGTTATATCATAAATAATGGGTGTTACATCACACGTAATCTGCTGTTATATCATAAATAATGGGTGTTACATCACACGTAATCTGCTGTTATATCATAAATAATGGGTGTTACATCACACGTAATCTGCTGTTATATCATAAATAATGGGTATTACATCACACGTAATCTGCTGTTA